TTATTATCAGACAATGGACTACCTAAAAAATGAAATTTCAACATTGATGGAAAAAGATTGCTCAAGTGGATGAATGGGATGCCACAGTATTCCTAAATGTATGAACCGTTTATCTTTGTTACTGTCACTCATTTAAGTTTAAAAATTTGGTGACAAGGGATATTTTTCTCTGTTATTAGTTATATTTATCCTTTTATTTATTTTTTTAAGTAGGCTCCATGCCCAACATGGAGCCCAAGGTAGTACTTGAACTCACAACCCTGAGATCAAGACCTGAGCTGAGATCAAGAGTTGGGCGCTTAAACATCTGAGCCACCCAGGCGCCCCTACATTTTTCCTTTTAAATAAGTTTCCAGCTTCCAGATCCATTTCCTTTCAAGTCTGCTTAAAATGTGTTTTTCAAACAATACCCGACTCCCAGACTTCAGACATTACTGGTACTCTCGTCTCTCTTTGTTATAGAAAACAATGAAATAAATAAATTATGAATTTTCTTGACAGGAAGAGAGTTTATACATTAATTGTTTTGATACCTGAAATATTAACATTATAATGCACCAATTTTCTCCCTTAAAATTAACTGCATTTTAATTTGCATCCACTGTGACTTTCACAGTACAAAAACGTGCATCCCTACTAATCATTTTGTTATCAAGAGGAACTGCAATCATATTTAGCAACAGAACACAGGATTGAGGTTTTTCAAGCTAGCTCTAGGACCAGAAAACCCCACTATTTTGTTGTTTAACTATTATACATGAGGAAGAAAATAACCACTGAAATAATATATTTGAAAGTGATCTTTAAACTGTTAAATATATATACCTGTAAAGTGGAAAAGTGAGTTAAATCTTTGCCCTTGATGTTGAACTCTTCCCTCTATGTTACCACCCAATTCGTACATTAGCAAATGTATTTATTATTTCATTCAGCAAGCATTTACTCTCATATATTACATTCTATTATGTCATGTGAGAATATTAAATATGCAAAACTATAATGCATGTAAATCTATTTTATTTGCAGTTAACATCATTATTTGAAGAAGAATAACTTATAACTCACTTTTCCCCTATTACCTGGAATAGTAAAACAAGGAAACTTCCATTCCCTTCCCTAATTTCTGCATACCTCCTTCCCTTGTTTCCATGATCTCTATGAGAAGTCAGAAAGTCATATTGTAAAATTGCTAAAGATTGTCCTCACTCTATTCAAAAAGTTTCTGAAGTGCAAAGGGCCACTATGGGATACATTTAAGTATTTGAATGATTTAACTTTCACTAGATGCACTACTCTCAAATATGGTATTTACTTATTTTAAAGTATACTGCCCTCTAAAATAATAAGAAAATTAAATCCAAGTTGAATGGACTTTGAATGGCAAATGCACCTTGAACACACTAATGTTTCTGATGTAACAATTCCCTTTCAAGCACTGAGTAATATACGGAATTGTTGAATCATTATATTGTACACCTGAATTGAATATAACACTGTATATTAACTACACTGGAATTAAAATTAAAAAACAACCACTCATCTATTATTTGTGAAATATATCAATAAAAACACAAAATTAAAGGTTGTCAAGTCCTATACCCAATGGTTTGATCTTCTTTCTATCAATACAAATAGGTGTTCTGAGACATGCTTATAATTTCCATATACTTAGAGACACTGTATCGAGCTAGTAGCTATGTTTTAGTGTCATTCTCGAAAAAGATTACTCCGTCAAAAATGGCATTTATTTAAGGTATGACCTAGAAAATATGTTGCATTTTATTAATTGGTGTATCATTCAAGATTTAATTCAAATGCCATCTCTACCATCATGCCTTCTCTGATTCCTTCCTCCTTTCCTAGATGTTCTCTCACAGTCTCTCTCTCCCTTCTTTGAACATCGATTGCAATTTATTTTTACATTTTTTAGGTTATCATCATTAAATCATGTATTGTAATGGTTTGAGCAAATGTCTCATCTTCCATGATATCATGCTTATTTTATGCAAAGAGTAGTGTATATTTTTCATTCCCACTTTTGGTGTCAGAATGTCTTACACATATCTGTTGCACAAAATAGTTTTTTGAATGAAGGGATTTATGCTTTAAATAATTCCTTAAACAAATTCCCAAAGGGAATTAAAAACTTCCCAGGTCATTTATTACCTGTACCAGAAACTGGTGCCTTATTTCTTAATTTTAGGCCTTTATGCTATATTACTTTTATTGTTCTTTGATGGGTTTGAATTTCTTACCCTTGTTTCTCAAACTATAAACTCCTTGGACAGTCTTTTAATACTTATGTATGCCCAAAATTCTTAGCACAGTGGGTGCTAAGCAGGAGTGTTCAATTCAGTGGATTAAATGTTGCCAAAGACTCACCTAAGAAGCATTTCAGAACACAGCTAGCAGTCATCTCCTGGCCAAGGGAATTAAATCTCCAAAACTTTGCTTACCGTGGCATTGACATTTATGTGATCCCCTTTCCTATTCCGAATATGAATGCAGGATATTGGCAAATTCAATCCTACCCCCGTAGCCAGATTTCTCGGGTCAGCAGCACTGTATTCCCCACGCAACAGCAAACTGTTATTATCGGAACCAAGTCCTAGAGAGGCTTGACAGAGATAGGTCTGAGAAAGTCTCTCAACTGTAGTGACATCTACTGTGGCTGATGCCATACAGGGACTCGAAGCCATCTTCCTCCCATACCTCAGTTCCTCTGGGGAGCGACAGCGCCTTTGAGAACAACAAACTGGGCTCTGGTTCACCTTGATGCACAAAAAGAAAAGTAAACACCCCAGATATAAAAAGGAAATACAGGCCAGAGCAATTACTAAGTACAGGTTCTGGGTAGAAAGGTGGCCTCCTGTTTCCCAGGTATCTTCAAAGTCTGGAAGGACCTGAGGGGCAGAGTTGCTCAACAGTACACCCAATGTGACAGAAGAGGAAAGTGTTGGTTCTCCCTGGTCCCGAACCATGACCACCACCCTCTGTTTAACCGCATCACTGGGAAGAATTACTCGGGAAGTTCGGAGCTCTCCCATATTGGCTGAAATTCTGAAAAGGCTGGAGTCAGAAGCCTGAGAAATATGGTAGGAAAGCCAAGCATTAGAGCCACTGTCTGCATCCTCTGCTACCACTTTTGTGACCAAGTGACCACTTCTGGCAGAGCGGGGCACAATTTCCACTGGAACAGAGCCATTTCTGGGCACGGGAAACAAGATGACTGGAGCATTGTCATTCCTATCTACCACAAACAAGCTCACAGTCACTGTTGCACTCCTGGGAGGAATGCCACCATCCCGGGCTTCCACTTGGAAGTGAAACCCCCTGAGCTGCTCAAAGTCAAAGGACGTTTTGGCAGTGATAGCCCCGCTGGTTGATTCTACTGCCACCAAGCTAGAGGCGGTCTGCCTTTCAGAGATAATATCCAACAGCTCATAGAAGACAAGGCCATTCTTCCCCAGGTCGGGATCCTGGGCAAACACACGGCCTAGAGAGGCCCCAGGACCATTGTTTTCAGCCACAAAAAGTTCCTGCTGCGGTTGAGCAAAGCTTGGTGAATTGTCATTCACATCAGCAACAGACACAGTCAGTGTCCTGCGGGTGCTCAAGGGGGTTGAGCCACCATCTGAGGCAGTGATCAGGACCTGGTATTCGCTGACCTGCTCCCGGTCCAGCAGCCCATCAGTCAGCAAGCTGTAGTAGTTGTCAAAGAAAGCCTTCAGCTTAAAAGGGCCTCCACTGGACATGCTACAAACGACCTTACCGTTGGGACCGAGATCCTCATCCCTGAGACTGAGGAGAGCAATCACTGTGCCAGGGGCAGCGTCCTCAGAAACTGAACTGGACAGAGTCAGGAGATTCACCTCGGGGGCATGATCATTCACATCCGTCACTTCCACCAGCAGTTTGACAGTACTAGCTAAACCGAAGGTGCCCTCATCCCTCGCTTCAATGTACGCCTCCAACAACGTTTCAGGTGGACCCAGTGAAGCAGCTACCCGCACCTCTCCAGTTCTAGGGTGCACGTGAAAGTGGTGTCGCAGCGCGGCTCGCGTGCTATTGCTTAAGGAGTACCGGATTTCCCCATTGGAGCCTTCATCCGGGTCCGAGGCCTGAACTCGTAGTAACACAGTCCCGTTCGGTGCAGTCTCTGCTACCTTGGCGCGGTACACCGTGCGCTCAAACACAGGCGCATTGTTGTTTGTGTCCACCACTATGATGGTAACTCGTGCGTCTCCAGAGCGCGCGGGCTGCCCGCCGTCCCTAGCGCTGAGCACCAGCTGGTGGGTGGCGCGCTGCTCCCGATCCAACGCTTTCTCTAATACCAACTCCGGGTATTCACTGCCGTCCACCCGCGATCCCATGATCAGGCGAAAGTGCTGGCTGGGGCTCAGACTGTAGCTTAGGACCCCGTTGCTTCCCTCGTCAGCATCTTGGGCGTTAGGGAGAGTAAAGCGGGCTCCAGGCATCAGGAACTCGGGGACGTGCAGCTGCACGTCGCCGGCAGGGAAGAAAGGCGAGTTGTCGTTGGTGTCCACGACGTGAACTCGCATCGTGTGTAGCTCCAGCGGGTCCTCGAGCACCAGCTCATAGGTCAAGACGCAGACAACTTTGGTCTCGCACAGCCGTTCGCGGTCTGCCGGCTCTAGGACCACCAAGGCACCGCTGGCCAGATCCACCCCGAAGTAGGGCTCGCGGTGGCTGGAAAGGAAGCGAAAGTTCCTCAAGGACAGAGCGGCCGCTGACAGCCCCAAGTCAGCGGAAACACTGCCTACGGCTACGCCCCGCTCGGTCTCCTCCAATACTGAGTATTCCAGCTGTCCGGCGGCAGAGCCGCAGGAGACCCACAGACATAAAACCGCCACCCTCCAGCCCACCATCCTCCCTCTCGGCGTCCTCGCTCCACCAGCAGTGACCCAGGACCATGCTCCGGACTCCCGGAGAGCACGAACCCTAGGAAAGAGCAAGGGCCGGCCGCCCGCCACAGCGGGCTAGAGGGACACAGATCGCCGACGTTCGGCCTCCTGAATATACTGGAATTGCCGGGGGCTGGCGGGCTGGAAGCACTGCTCGCCGGACTGGAGCTTTGGCAGCCGTCTGGGGAAGCGGAGCTGCCGGTGCGGAGGAGCGCAGCGCCGCCTAGGGGTGCAGAGACGAGGTAAACGGCTCGGGCTAGGGAGGCGCCGTCTCCACTCTCCGCTAGGTGGGATCTCTCCGAAGTCCCGGCGGCCGGGCGGGGCAAGGAAGATGCTCGGGAAACTAACACATTTTCCCTCGAACGGCGTTTCTAAGGACAACGCCCTAAGACCCGCCCCGTCTTAACCTCCACAGCGGCCGCCTAAAGACTGCTCGTAGCTAGGGCTGAGCTCGGCTGGGCTTCTCTCGCCACTGTTTGACCGCGGAACGTCTAGTGCCGGGCGCTCGGACCTCCAGAACCCCTACAGTGCCCGCGAGGAGAGCGGAACTCCCAGAAAAACCGCCAGGCGGTGGCGGCTAGAGGCGGTATCGGGACCCTGAATGACCACGCCTTCGAAGCTTAAGAAAACAGAAGCCCCCAAACTAAGGGCTGAGGTGCATCTGGATTCCCAGCCTCTCTGCTGCGGGTTAAAGTCTCTCCTGCACCTTCTTTTATACCAGGAGCCAAGAATTCAATAGAGGCGACCAGCGAGGGGCAAATTGGGGAATAGGGTCCTCCTCAAGCTTCCCCGGGACTCTGGCTTTTCGAGGCACCTGGGTGTGGGTGAGCGCAAGGCTTACAGTTCGTTTGGCTTTTTGTGGGTCAGCATTTTCTCTCTACCCAGGAGGCCCTACTACAGAGTGCCTCACAAGCGACCCTTGACGCTCTGGATGAGAGGTTAGAAACCAGTCCGTACAAGCACCTGAAACTCAGAAAGACTGACACTCATCCCCAACAGGACGTGCGAAGTGGAGTGGGAAGAAAGTAATTGAGATACTCTCCAGAGTGTGACCAGGAAACTATTCTGTAAATTTACTCTCTGTAAATATTTAGAAAATAGCATTGAGGCAGGGTAGGAACTGACTAGCCGCCCATACGTTCTCCAATTTCGTTTTTAGGCGGGTCCCCTGAAGGGAAATAGGGATATTGATCAGTTCTATGAAAAACATCTCCGAGCTACAAAAAATATCTCCAGATTTCGTCTTGCACCCTACAACCAGGGGATTTCCCTGAGGGGAGGCGAGCTGAAAAAAGAGTGCCTTCAAATGACTATTAAACACTAAATTTCTTAAACTTCTTTTAATACAATTGCAGGGTCCAAAGCCCCAGGAACCAAAATTTGAAAGACAAAAGCTGAATACTGATCAAGAATTGAAGCTTTCAGGGCAATGTTCATTCTTTCTTTCTTTTAAGATTTTACCCCTTTATTTGTCAGAGTGAGAGAGGACACAAGCAGCAGGTGCGGCAGGCAGAGGGAGAAGCAGGCTCCCCGCTGAGCAAGGAGCCCGATGTGGGAACTCAATCCCAGGACCCTGGGATCATGACCTGAGCAGAAGGCAGACGCTTAACTGACTGAGCCACCCAGCCGTCCCAGGGCAATGTATTTTCTGGTCAGAAAACGGCCTAAGAAGTGTTGATAATTATTGAAGCTGAACGCTGGATACAAGGGAGCTAATTATACAATTCTCTTAACTTTACTGTATGTTTGAGTACTTTAGAATACTATCTTAAATTGCTGATTAAAATGAGGGGTGGGGTGGCAGGCTGTTCCAGCATTCTGGTTTTAAAACTGAAAGTGGGATTGGTAAATTCATTATGCCACTAAGAACCAATCACCTCCTTGGGAACAATACAAACCCAAACCCTTATCTCTTCCAGGGAAGCATGGCAAGCAGCAACACAAGGCAATTTAAGTAGTAAGTGCTCTCGACTAATTTGTCTTTCTGAGTTAAGGAACCAAGAAAATCACTGACACCAAGTGTTGGATAAAACCAAAGCAGAAAACATGTCAGCCCTGTGAAGTGTTAGGTAGGGTCATAAGTATAGCTATCACGGGGAATGCTCATTAGGATGTGAGATAACCTATAAAAATTAAATGTATTCACCAAATTTCAGAACCAAAACTAATTATCTACTTCAGTGCCAGAGATTAGGATTTGCATTTCCTCATTTTCATTTAATGCTGCCAGCTAAGCTAATAGCTTTGGGGTGTAAGGTTATACTTTTCCCTTTTCCATTAGCAGCAGATGAAATACATCTGGAGAGACTAACTCAACTTTTGGAAGGCCCCTGATTTTAAGACCTGCAATCAAGTTTCCAGTTATACTGGGTTTAGGATTTCTAAACTCTGTCTAGGAGGACAGGATGTGTGGTGGATTAGTAAGTGGGGAAAAGGAAAAACTCATACTGAGAATCAACATGGAAAATCTTGACAAAAACTCTTCCCCCTTCACACACGTCTCAGACTTCTGGCTTCCTTCCCTTTCCCATTTCTCTGTCTAAACTGCCACTGATGATTATTTTCAAAGGATTTAATTTCTGTCAAGAATAAGTGAATAGCGCTCACCTAAGTGGGATTTGTCCCGCCATCTGCCTCCCTATTTGTAGGCATACCTGGAGTTTGTGGGAAAGCAATATTTAGGAGATATTTGGGATATTTAGATATCCCAAAGATGAAGTCTCAAGAGTTTTTCCTTTTGTTTAAGATAACTAGGTGAACATTAAACCATAAATCAATAAAACTTCTCTTTGGCAGAACCTAATATTTCATTTTGCCATTTTATGCCATTTTCCATAGTTTCCCCTATTTCAGGCATTTTCAAGCTTTAATTAGGCACAAGTACAACTTTAAGTGGACTCAACAGAGAAACAGTCTTAATTTCTGCTTGCCAAGACTTATTAATATAAAGCTCTCCCAACCAAACTTGGCCTTAAGTTATAAATTCAGAAGATTTCTAGCAATAATGCGTAAGCTCCTACTAGAAATCTTGCAGCCAAATGAGAAAATAGTAAATCTGATACATACCACAAAAGCGACGAGGGATGAAAGCAGAAAAATGTTCACATTTAGCCCAGAAGGCCTGCATAGTTTTAATAAGGCTCAAATACATCTTTAAAGGGTCTCATGACTGCCTGTATATCTCATTGATAGTTAGTACTGAACTGAAAAGTACCAGAGAAATCTTGCAAAAGTAGTTTTATGAATAGAAATTCAAAGAAATATTTATGATCTAATACTCCCTGCACGTCCCCTCCCGCTTGAGCACTAAGCATGTATCCACCAGCTTCATACAGCCATAGTGCAGCTGCTTCTGCCCAGGGGTCCTGTCCCCGCACTACTTAAATAAATTACTAAGTTGCACCATAGTGTATCTCAGGAATTTCTTGCCCCTGTACTTGACGACCCACAACAAAATGATATTACACTTAAAATTAAGATTTGATTGATTGATTGATTGATTTGTCAGAGAGATCCCGCACAAGCAGGGGGAGCGGCAGGCAGAGGGAGAAGCAGGCTCCTTGCTGAGCAAGGAGACCGATGCGGGACTCGATCCCAGGACCCCGGGATCATGACGTGAGCTGTCGGCAGATACTTAACCGACTGAGCCACCCAGGTGTCTCTAAACCAGATTTTCTTAGTGCTTAAAATTATTCCTTGGGAATATATTATCTACTTAAACTAAATTTAAAGACATGGTATCAGCATAACATTAAGAACATTTTCATCCTATAATGGCTGAGGAAGTGTCTAAAGCAAGTCTTCCCCCACCCCACCCCCCGGCCAAATCAAGTCTAATAGAGGAGTAGTTCTTTGGGGGTAGAGATCTATATCACTCAAATTTTGTTTCTTAAGTATCTAGCTAGGCTCTGGGCACACAAATTAAGTGGCTAAAGCACTCTCAATATACAACATCCTATGTCACTTTTTTTTTTTTACTTGCATCCTTTACCAGTAACACATTACTACAGAATTTCTTTCTCAAATTTCTAATCCCAAGGAGCTAGTTTTTCTCCATGACATAATACAATATAAAGTATCTTGAAACTTTCTTCGAGAATCTTCACTCTGACTCTGTTGTGTTTGCTCACTACTTTTTACAATTATGTATCAATTTTCCAAAAATTACCTTTTCCTAAAAATCTTTTTCTAGGGGCACCTGCGTGGCTCAGTCGTTAAGTGTCTGCCTTCAGCTCAGGTCATGATCCCAGGGTCCTGGGATGGAGCCCTGCATCGGGCTCCCTGCTCAGTGGGAAGCCTGCTTTTCTCTCTCCCCACTTTCCCTGCTTGTGTTCCCTCTCTCGCTGTGTCTCTGTCAAAAAAATAAATAAAATCTTTAAAAAAACATTAAAAATTAAAAAAAAATCTTTTTCTCATTTCATCTTCAAAGTGTAGCCCTCAGAACTTAAAGTCATACTCCAGGTTGGCCACATCTGACATAAAAAGAGGAGATCTTTTTCTCCTTTATAAGAGATCTTTTCTCCTTTTTAAGAAGAACATATATTAAGGCATGTGGTAATGTGGGGGTATAGGTCCTAGCAAGAATAGAAGAAGGAAAAGGAGCAAAACAGTTTTTTCACGTGGTCCCTTCAGTTTCCCTGTCTCGATGTATTCTTACACATGCCTTAATGTATGTCCTCCTTGTAACAGTCAAGGAGTTAATGATTTCTTCAGAGTCTTCCAGCACAACAGATAACATCTAAGGAGTGACCAAGAGAGGTTGTCATGACTGTTTTCCAAGACCACTGACTCCAGAGCTTCCGTGACTTATGGAGGATGTCTAAGAACTCATCCTTGTTTTGACCAATTCCTGAATGTCTGAGGGGACAGACCACTGTCTTCAATCCAAACCCCAAATGGCAAGCAAAGATGAGATTCTCTCTCCTTTCCTTTCTGAGTCTCCCAGACTGTCTGTATCTGCTCTCTCCATGAATCTTCAATAAACTCTGCTCTCACTTCCTCTGGGCTCATGTTTGATCTCCATCCTATGTGAAGCCAAGGACCCTCTTGGCTGGTCCTGTGGGACCCCCTCTATATCCTTGGACCCAGCCAGCCTACATCACTTTCATTTTAAGTATTACAAATCAAGGAATAGAGTCTAAAATTGCATCTAGCTCATCACATACTTTTTTCATGATGGATTGAAAACTAAAATTCACACCTATTTCTTCTAGATGCTCTTAAGCCACAGATCAAAAAGTCCTAGACTTGTGTACTTTTTCTTTTTACTTCAATTTGCTGAATATCATTGGGTTAAAAGTTAACCTATCTAGTTCAATCACATAATATATTTTATCTGCATTCAAATTTTGTATTGCTACATATTTGGTAAGCAGTCATACTACATCCTCCTCTAAGTTGCAGATGAAAATTTTCATCACGTGTGGCTGAAAAGGAAGGCCTGCAACCATTACCAACCAACCTGACATCAGTTTATTAGATAGTGTTTAACCTGAAATAAAAATCTGACAAAGACACCCTATCAACATTCTCCAGAAAAGACTCTATGTAAATCTCACATTATAGTTTCAAAACTGCTAAACAAAATATTACTAGATCATCATTATGATAGATGCTTAAAAGGAATTTGATAAAAATTTGACAGCTGTCACAAAACAATGACCATCTTCATTTTATTTATTATTTAAAGATTTTATTTCTTTACTTGTCAGAGGAAGAGACAGAGCACAAGCAGGGGGAGCGGCAGGCAGAGGGAGAAGCGGGTTCCCTGCTGAGCAAGGAGCCCAATGCAGGGCTCCATCCCAGGACCCTGGGATCATGACCTGAGCCAAAGGCAGACGCTTAACTGGCTGAGCCACCCAGGCATCCCAAATCTTCATTTTAAACAGTAAAACACCAGAATTATTTCCACAAAAAATCATGAGCATAACAAGACACTTCAGGTCATAGTCATTATTCAATACCACCTTGGATATTCTGGTCAACACAAGATAAAAAAGCACGCGCGTGTGTGTGTGTGTTAGAAAGAAAGATAACATATATTGTTAGATCATAAATCTATAGGTAATATAATTTTCTACTCATAAAATCCCAGAAAATTAAAGAAAAAATAATTAGAACTAAAAAGAGTTCAGTGACATGATTAGTTTTCATCTTTGATGAAACTCTATAAAGCACTTGAACTTCAATCATAATATATATGAAAAGAAGTTACCAAGTGCCACGAAAATTGGACCATGATGTGAGAAAATGCTAAGAGTGAATTCCTGCCACTGGAGACTTGGG